AATTACTTTACAATATTGTAGTGGTTTTTGCCATACATTGACATGAATCAGCCATGGATTTACATGTGTTCCCCATCCTGATCCCCCCTCCCACCTCCCTCTCCACCCGATTCCCCTGGGTCTTCCCAGTGCACCAGCCCTGAGCACTTGTCTCATGCATCCAACCTGCTATGTCCATTTTTTAAATCAGATTGTTTGTCTTTTTGATGTTGAGTTGTATGAGTTCTTTTATATGTTGGACATTAACCCCTTATCAGGTATATAATTTGCAAAATATTTTGTTCCATTTGGTAGGTTGCCCTTTCATTTTATTGATGGTTTCCTTTGTTGTACAGCAGCATTTTAGTTTAATATAGCTAAATTATTTATTCTTGTGTTTATATATATTGAGTTGTTTGTTTGGGTTTTCCTGTAAGATGGTATGGAAAAACCTGAATGAACATTTTGGCCAACTCAATATATAAGGATATATGTTAGTCGCTCAGTCATGTCTGACTGTTTGTGACCCCATGGACAGTAGCCCACCAGGCTTCTTTGTCCATGGAATTCTCCAGGCAAGAACACTGGAGTGAGTAGCCATTTCCTTCTCCATAGGATCTTCCCAACCCAGGGATTGAACCTGGATCTCCCACATTGCAGGCAGAGTCTTTACCATCTGAGCCACCAGGGAAGCCCATAGAAGATACATATAATGTATATGATAATTTTCATCTGTGGGACAGTTGGCTTAATAGAAGTTACTGGCTACTACTGGAAGTGAAATTCTATACACTATTTTAATAGACTTAATAGAATGGCTCTTTCCTGGTGATATTTGAATAGGCAATTTCATCTAACAAAGAGTTATCTTGGGTACATTGTAGTGCACAATAGATATGTACTGAAAATTCCAGTGAGGGTTATTAGTATTCCATTTTACTACAGTGGGTTCCAGGTGTAAAGTTTCTTTAGACTGAAAAAGAAATAATTCTTACTCAGAGTTCTATGGGTATCACATCTTCTTGCTAGCATGGGCTAGAAACTTCAGGTTTTCTCTCTCATCCGTGTTACTTTATGTTCAATGGAATAGTCAACTTAGGTTTATTGCTTGTGAATTACCCTCTTGATTCAGATTAGGTCCAGAATTGGCTATTGTCCTCAATCTGACCCCATGTTGAGCCACATGACAGGTCGGGAAATGCTGATCATGTATGCCAGGCTGCGGGGCGTTCCTGAGCCAGACATCGGCATGTATGTGGAAACCTTTCTGCATTCAATGCACATGGAAACCTATGCTGACAAGCTGGTCTGCACATACAGGTGAGACATTATGCTGCTTATTTATTAAGCTGCCTACTGCCCATCTGTATTTCTGCTGTTTAGCATGAATGCCTGTAAACTCAACCTGACAACTCTGTCGCACGGAAGCAATGACTGTGACATAGCCTTACTTCCTGTCAGGGTTCAGATATCAGAAATAAGGCAGATCACATTTGTATGAAGTTAATCTTTTGCAGGCATGATCTGTAGCCTTTGCATTTCAAAAAGAACACATTCATTCCTGTATCCCTATGGTTATTTATCTCCTCAAAACAAAAATATTTTACCAATAATAATGCTAAAAAGCATACCCCCCAAAGTCATTTCAATGAAAATGAGTTGGTGTATACACAGCATTGTGGATATATGAGCTAATTCTGTTGAATTAACGATAATCTTATTTCTTCTTTCTCCTCCACTTTCTCTCCCCTTCTTTGACAATAAAGTGGAGGAAACAAACGTAAATTGAATACTGCTATTGCCCTAATGGGAAAGTCCTCAGTTGTTTTCCTGGATGAACCATCTACTGGCATGGACCCAGTAGCCAGGCGCCATATGTGGGACACAGTTACATGGATATGTAATAGTGGCAAAGCTATCGTCATATCTTCCCACAGGTATGACCCATTAGGAGACTTGGGTGAGAGTCAGAAGTGCATAAGAGAGAATTAGTTTGAGTCAAGGATATGCCAGTGCACTTGTCTAAGTACATGAAGTACATAAGAGGGACTGTGAGCAAATGCTGATTCCTGGGTAAAATCTAGAATACCCAGTCAAGTTCTGAAATCCAGACTTGGTAGAAGATAGGAAGTCAGGGAAGTGTTTCTCTTGTAAATTTAGAAATCAACTGCTTTGAATTTTTAAATCTCCCCTTTCCAAATATAGTCTTAGTAATGATCACTTGCAATATAAAGCCTTCTTACTATAAGTGTTACCTTATAATCATAGCTCTGTTTTGAAATATAAAGTTTTGCTTCTTAGAGGGAATCTCTTCATCCATATATCTTTTGTGCCTCTAGCATGGAAGAATGTGAGGCCCTTTGTACCAGGCTGGCCATCATGGTAAAGGGGCAGTTCAGGTGCCTAGGCAGCCCACGTCACCTCAAGAACAAGTTTGGTAATATATATACTCTGACAGCAAAGATTAACATTGATGATAATGAAGATAAACTAGAGGAGTTCAAAGAATTCATTGAGATAAATTTCCCAGGTAATGTAGATAGGGCTTACTTGTGAAAATTGTTTTAAGTCACATATGTTGTTCTGCTGCATGTACTCAATAACTTTTTTCCATGAGTAATTGATGTTTATTGAGCTTTAATATTAGGCCCCTTTAGAAATAATTTTTCTATGAATTTATCCCTGATTATGCTAAGAAGCTTTCTCAAAATAACAGAGGTTCTCACCAGTCTCTTGTAGGAATTAGCCAGTAAGATAAATCCATTCAAGTTTATTCATTTAGAGTTAAATTATTTAAGTTAAGGCTCTATTTTTTATCCTTGATAATTTTTAAAGTCTCCCTTCTTTTTGAGCATCATTCCTCTGCCATTCCCTGGTTACTGAGTCAGGCAATGCTTATGAAATGCAAATCCCCTTTTCTTCTTTGAAGGAAATGAACTGGATGTTTGACATAAAAATTTATTCAGCCTTTGTGTGCTAATTTCAGCAAGTGCCTCTCTGTGCCCATGATAAGCAAATTTACAGCCAGCTTCTATTTATTTGTACTCTCAGTATTTTATTTGTAGTCTTTAACTTGAATGATCACTCTATCAACAGTGTGGTAGCCAGATGGTTAGGATGCATGTTTAAAAGCACGGAGTCTATAACGATGATAAAGCAATAAATGGTATTGGCCTGCACTAAGGAAGTGACAGTAAGAATGGAGAGGAAGAAATTATAGGAAATGAATACATATATATATATATATAGAGAGAGAGAGAGGAGAAGGCAATGGCTCCCCACTCAAGTACTCTTGCCTGGAAAATCCCATGGACAGAGGAGCCTGGTAGGCTGCAGTCCAAGGGGTCGCTAAGAGTCGGACACGAGGAGTGACTTCACTTTCACTTTTCACTTTCATGCATTGGAGAAGGAAATGGCAACCCACTCCAATATTCTTGCCTGGAAAATTCCAGGGATGGGGGAGCCTGGTGGGCTGCTGTCCATAGGGTCGCACAGAGTCAGACACGACTGAAGCGACTCAGCATGCATGCATGCATTGGAGAAGGAAATGGCAACCTACTCCAGGGTTCTTGCCTGGAGAATCCCAGGGACGGGGGAGCCTGGTGGGCTGCCGTCTCTGGGGTCGCACAGAGTCGGACACGACTGAAGCAACTTGGCAGCATATATATATATATATATATATAGAGAGAGAGAGAGGCAGATGGCAGGGGAGATGATCAATTAGAGAGGAAGAACCATAATGTAGGAAAGATCATTAATTTAGTATTAATTATATTAGAATATTCTAATAAGTATATCCATCAGGCCAGCTGGATGTTCATTTGGCCATTCATTCATATGGAAAGATTTGTGGAGCACTTTTTGTATGCTGTGTTGATGATAATTAGCCACACAGAAGCATATATTTATATATACTATGAGCCATTCCAATATCCTATTTAACTTGAAGGTGAGAGAGGACACAAAAAACTGAGGCCAAACTTGTCTTAAAGAAGGTGATGAACACAATAGCTTGGATGTGAAACTACATATGGAAAGTTACTGAATTGGCAATCTTTCAGCATGCTATCCTTGAGCAAATTAGCTATTTCAAATAAAACTTCCCCGTTTAAAGATAACAAAATCGAAAGGATGGTCCCTTTATGTATGGGACCTATGCATAAAGATTATCCAGAAAAGGAAAAAACAAAGAACTGTAACATGTGAAAGGCAACTTAAATATACATTTCAGCCTAAAATTATCTCTAGAAATTAGAAGATTGTTTCAATTAAATGCTTCCCTTTAGTGACAAAGAATTTAAGACATCCTTCATTTTTTTAAAAGGCTACAAAGAAAATAGTTCATCTTTCTACAGCATGACAGATTATTCTCTTAGAAATGTACCACTATTAAAATAAAAATACATATTGGAAAACATAAAGCAAATATGCCTTTAATTATTTGCTTAGACTCAGAAAAAAGGGAGAAAAAAACCTCAAAGAACCAAAACAGAACAGAAAACAATTATCAAGCTAAAACCTGATAGAGACAATAATAAAATGCAAAAATTGGTTTTCCCTGAAACAAATTCCAATACCAGTACTAATATAACTTTTGACCCACTACGGTGTGAGAAGGTTAATCTAAGATTCCCACTAAGCAAGGACCTTCAAAAATGAACAAATGCTTTAGTTTCCAGCCCGGAATGTAAGAAGGTTAAAAATTGACATTCTGTCCTAATAACAAGTAAAAAGTTGAACACACTGAAAAATCAGCAAATGCTCTAGAATCTGAAAAAGAAGTAAGGGCAAACCACTGCAGCCAGTATTGGACAGATAGGCAAATACAGGGAATCACGGATTACCATATCAGAAAATGTCTAGCAGAAAGTCCAAGGGCAACCAGTGCCAAGCTGGAAAAACCTGAATTGCAATTGAATTCCTGCAAGGACTGTGTGGACACCTGTAAAGGGTAACCACTCCAGAGGGGCCATTTATGGAGATTTCCTACGTATTGTGATATTTACCTCCAGGACCTTGACAAGGTTCTAGGGTATTATCAGAGCCTAAATGACCTCAGAGAGGTTCTAGCCAACTCTTAGCCATCTTGCTCCACAAAAGAGAGGAGAAAGAACTGAAAAACACTTGTAAAGTTCACAGTGCAGAGGCTTGGGCTCACTGAATTGAGATATACACAGCCTATAACACACTTCCTCTCCCCAACAACTCGTCACCAGATTTGTTGTTATTGTTTAATCACTAAATTGTGTCCAACTCTTTGCAAACCCATGGACTGTAGCTTGCCATACTTCTCTGTCTATGGGATTCCCCACGCAAGAATACTGGAGTGGATTGCCATTTCCTTCTCCAGGGGATATTCCAGACCCAGGGATAGAACCCATGCCTGCTGCTTTGGCATGCAGATTTTTTACCACTAAGCCATCAGGGAAGCCCTCATCACCACATTAAAAAAAGGCCTATTTACAGCCATCCTCCTTCCCAGGAAGTCTGGCTATCAAAAAAAAAAATTACAAAGCACACCAAAAATCAGAAAACACAATTTGAAGACATAAAGCAATGTTAGAACCAGATATGACAAGGATGTTTGAATTATCAGTCCTGTAATTGAAAACAACTATAACTGATATACCAAGGGCTATAATAGACAAAGTAGACAGCATTCAGGAACAAATGAGTAATGTAGGCAGACAAGTGCAAATCCTAAGAAAAAACCAAGAAGAAATGCTAGAGATCGAAAATCTAACAGAAATGAAGAATGCCTTTGATGGATTTCAGTAGACTGGACACAGCTGAGGAAAGAACCGCTGAGCTAGAGGATAAAACATGGTCCACTGTAGAAGGAAAGGGCAAACCATTTCAGTATTCTTGCCTTGAGATCCACATGAATAGTACAAAAAGGCAAAAAGATAGGACACTGAAAGATGAACTCCCTGGGTTGGTAGGTGCCCAATATGCTCCTGGGGATCAGTGGAGAAATAACCCCAGAAAGAATGAAGACATAAAAGCAAAGCAAAAACAACACCCAGTTGTGGATATGACTGGTGATGCTGACTGGATGTGATTAGTAAAGTCCAATGCTGTAACAAGCAGTATTGCATAGGAACCTAGAATGTTAGGTCCATGAATCAAGGTAAATTGGAAGTGGTCAAACAGGAGATGGCAAGTGTGGACATTGATATTTTAGGGATCAGCAAACTAAAATTGACTGGAATGGGTGAATTTAACTCGGATGACCATTATATCTACTACTGTGGGCAAGAATCCCTTAGAAGAAATGAACTAGCCCTCATAGTCAACAAAAGAGTCCCAAATGCAGTAGTTAGATGCAATCTCAAAAATGACAGGATGATCTCTGTTTGTTTCCAAGGCAAACCATTCAATATCACAGTAATCGAAGTCTCTACCCTGGCCAATAATGCTGAAGAAGCTGAAGTTGAACGGTTTGTGAAGACCGACAAGACCTTCTAGAACTAACACCCAAAAAAGATGTCCTTTTCATTATAGGGAACTGGAATGCAAAAGTAGGAAGTCAAGAAATAACTGGAGTAACAGGCAAATTTGGCCTTGGAGTACAGAATGAAGCAGGACAAAGGCTAACAGAGTTTGGCCAAGAGAATGCACTGGTCATAGCAAACACCTTCTTCCAACAATGCAAGAGAAGACTCTACACATGGACATCACCAGATGGTCAATACCAAAATCAGATTGATTATATTCTTTGCAGCCAAAATGGGGAAGCTCTATACAGTCAGCAAAAACAAGACTGGGAGCTGACTGTGGCTCAGATCATTAACTCCTTATTGCCAAATTCAGACTTAAAATGAAAAAGTAGGGGAAAACCACTAGGCCATTCAGGTATGACCAAAATCAAATCCCTTATGATTATACAGTGGAAGTGACAAATAGATTCAAGGGATTAGATCTGATACACAGAGTGCCTGAAGAACTATGGACGGAGGTTCATGATGTTGTACAGGAGGCAGTGATCAAGACCATCCCCCAAAATAAAAATGCAGAAAAGCAAAATGGTTGTCTGAGGAGGCCTTACAAATAGCTGAGAAGAGAAGAGAAGTGAAAGCAAAGAAGAAAAGGACAGATATACTCATTAGAATGCAGAGTTCCAAAGAATAGCAAGGAAAGATAACAAAGCCTTCCTCAATGATCAATGCAAAGAAATAAAGGAAAACAATAGATTGGGAAAGACTAGAGATCACTTCAAGAAAATTAGAGATGGCAAAAGAACATTTCATGCAAAGATGGGCACAATAAAGAACAGAAATGGTATGAACCTAACAGAAGCAGAAGATATTAAGAAGAGGTGGCAAGAATACACAGAA